TGCCCTCTGCCCCAAGCCGGTCCCCGTCGACGTGACCCCTGCCCTCTGCCCCAAGCCGGTCCCCGTCGACGTGACCCCTGCCCTCTGCCCCAAGCTGGTCCCCGTCGACGTGACCCCTGCCCTCTGCTTGGTTTCAGGTTTCTGGAGGAGCAAGTTTGACCCGAGCCTCACCCGGAGAGACTCCTTCCACCTGGACGAGCAGTTCACGGTGCCCGTGGAAATGATGCAAGCCCGCACGTATCCTCTGCGCTGGTTCATGCTGGAGCAGCCCGAGATCCAGGTCACTCTTGGTTGTCCAGCAGGCTGGGCCTGAGGCTGGGAGGCGGGGAAGGCAGTGGACAGGCTGTGGAGCAGGCACAGGGATGGGTGGAGGGTGTCTCGCCTTCTTTGCCGCCATGTCCCCTAGGCAGGCAGTTGCAAAAGGTCCCATGATCCCCCCTCCTACCTGGCAGGAGAACTGAGGTTCCAGGCTCTTTGAGGTTCAGTAATTCAGTGAAAATATAGTGGGCATTTGCTGTGTGCCAGATACTGTTCTAAGCACTAGGGTTTTTTTGGAGCATGTGGGAGGCCAGGTCTCTGCTCTTAGGAGGGAGGATACACAGTGCAACAGTGAATGGACATCAACACAGGAATTCCAGACCGTGGGAAGTGCTGTGGAGGGAGAGCTGAAAAAGAAGGTGATTTTGGCCGGGCCTGGTGGCTCACGCCTGCAATCCCAGCACTTTGGGAGGCCCAGGCGGGTGGATAATACGGTCAGGAGTTCAAGACCAGCCTGGCCAAGATGTGAAACCCTGTTTCTACTAAAAATACAAAAATTATCTGGGCATGGTGGCAGGCGCCGGTAATCCCAGCTACTCCGGAAGCTGAGGCGGGAGAATCACTTGAACGCAGGAGGCGGAGGCTGCAGTGGGCTGAGATTGTGCTACTGCACTCCCGCCTGGGAAACACATTGAGACTCTGATCTGCTCACTTCAGTCTCCCTAAATGCTGGGATTACAGGCGTGAGCCACCATGCCTGGCCTTATTTAGGCATTTTAGAGTGGTAAGGGTGAATTCTGTGAGGAGGGGGCATTGGATTGAGGCTCAGGTGACCATTGGTGATAAGGATTTATTACAAGGACCCATGGACTTTGGGGCAGCACAGGGACCACCCCATGGCCATGTAGCCGCTCAGGGTCTCCGCAGCCCCCAGCCTGGGAGAGTCCACTGGGCCCTCACACCGTGCTCCTTAGAAAGGAGGATCTGATCTGATTGGATTGGATTTCTTAGCATCCTGCGTGAAACATTCCCATTGGACAAACCTCCCTTTTTTTTTTTTTTGAGACAGAGTCTCGCTGTGTCACCCACGCTGGAGTGCAGTGGCTCGATCTCTGCTCATTGCAGCCTCTGCCTCCCGGGTTCAAGCCATTCTCCTACCTCAACCTGCTGAGTAGCTGGGACTACAGGCATGTGCCACCATGCCTGGCTAATTTTGTTTTGTTTTGTTTTGTTTGAGACAGAGTTTTACTCTGTCGCCCAGGCTGGAGTGCAGTAGTGTGATTTCGGCTCACTGCAGCCTCTGCCTCCCAGGTTCAAGCAATTCTCCTGCCTCAGCCTCCCGAGTAGCTGGGACCACAGGCGCCCGCCACCATGCCCGGCTAATTTTTGCATTTTTAGTACAGATGGGGTTTCACCATATTGGCCAGGATAGTCTTCATATCCTGACCTCGTGATCTACCCACCTGGGCCTCCCAAAGTGCTAGGATTATAGGCGTGAGCCACGGCGTCCAGCCAATTTTTGTAATTTTTTTTAGTAGAGACTGGTTTCACCATGTTGGCCAGGCTGGTTTCAAACTCCTGACCGCAAGTGATCCGCCTGCCTCAGCCTCCAAAAGTGCTGGGATTACAGGCGTGAGCCACTGCGCCCAGCTCTGATTGGATAAAATTCTGCGCCAGGCTGTCTCAGGTGTGGCCTCCCTTGCTTCTAGCCAAAATGTGGTCCCCTTGGCCTGGGCATTGATCCCTGGGCCAGACAGCTGTGGCTGAGATGGCCATGTTTGTTAGCTTCACAAGGCAAGTGTGACACAGAGCACAGCCACTTGCACAGGAAGGAGCCGGAAGCCACTTGGGCAGCCCTGCTGGGAGGGGGCTGCAGGCGAGGCTGGCCGGAGTGCGTCCTGGCTTCCCGGCAGCTCACTCTGAAAGGCCAGTCTGATCCACCTCCCCAGAGGTTTCCCTTTCCTGCTTCCCCTTTGCTCCAGGCTGTGTCCTGCACACTCCTCCTTCATCCTTTGTCTCCTTTCCTTGGGCCTCCTCAGCCTTTCTTGTCCTCAGGCCCTCTGCAGACCCAAACAGCCAGAACCCAGGTCTTATCCTCCCACGGGCAGGGGTTCTCCACACAGGCACTCTGCCTGGAACCCAAGGAGTCACAACTGCAGGAGGCCCTCGAGCCCTGTGGTGTCCACACTGCTTTTGCTGCAGAATCCCTTCAAATGAAATCTTAATGGCCGGGTGCGGTGGCTCATGCCTGTAATCCCAGCATTTTGGGAGGCCAAGGCAGGTGGATCACCTGAGGTCTGGAGTTTGAGACCAGCCTGGCCCAACATGGTGAAAGTCCGTCTCTACAAAAAATACAAAAATCGGCCAGGTGAGATGGTGGGCGCCTGTAGTCCCAGCTACGCGGGAGGCTGAGGCAGGAAAATCACTTGAACCTGGGTGGCAGAGGTTACAGTGAGCTGAGATCATGCCATTGCACTCCAGCCTGGGCAATAAGAGTCAAACTGTGTCTCAAAAAAAAAAAAAAAAGAAAAAGAAAAAAGAGGCTGGGTGCGTTGGCTCATGCCTGTAATCCCAGCACTTTGGGAGGCCGAGGCAGGTGGATTACGAGGTCAGGAGATCGAGACCATCCTGACTAACACGGTGAAATCCCGTCTCTACTAAAAATGCCAAAAAAATTAGCCGGGCATAGTGGCGGGTGCCTGTAGTCCCAGCTACTTGGGAGGCTGAGGTGGGGGAATGGCATGAACCTGGGAGGTGGAGGTTGCAGTGAGCTGAGATAGCGCCATTATACACCAGCCTGGGCGAGAAAGCAAGACTCTGTCTCGGAAAAAAAAAAAAAAGAAATCTTAAGCCAAATCACAATATATATACACAGCTGGCAAAGTCACAAGAGGGAGGTGAGGGAGGGTGGGGAGGACATTACTGTGCGGTGACTCACCCACAGAACCCAGGTGTGGTGTGACAGCCAGTGACCCTGTCTGTGGTACATCTGGAGAAGCTGAGACAAGGACAGGCGATGCCTTACGCCAGGTCACAGGGCCAGCTGGTAGCAGGTGAAGACAGAGAAAACCAGCAGGTATTGAGCACTGTCCATGACAGCGACACTGCTGGAAAGTTTTTTTTTTTGAGACGGATTTCACTCTTGTCCACAGGCTGGAGTGCAGTGGCGTGATCTCGGCTCCCTGCAACCTCCGCCTCCCGGGTTCAAGCGATTCTCCTGCCTCAGCCTCTGGAGTAGCTGGGATTACAGGTGCCCGCCACCATGCCCAGCTAGTTGTTGTTTTTTTTTGTTTGTTTTTTGTTTTTTTTTTTTGAGACGGATTTCACTCTTGTCCACAGGCTGGAGTGCAGTGGCGTGATCTCGGCTCCCTGCAACCTCCGCCTCCCGGGTTCAAGCGATTCTCCTGCCTCAGCCTCTGGAGTAGCTGGGATTACAGGTGCCCGCCACCATGCCCAGCTAGTTGTTGTTTTTTTTTGTTTGTTTTTTGTTTTTTTTTTTTGAGACGGAGTGTTGCTCTGTCACCCAGGCTGGAGTGCAGTGGTGCAATCTTGGCTCACTGCAAGCTCCACCTCCCGGGTTCACACCATTCTCCTGCCTCAGCCTCCTGAGTAGCTGGGACTACAGGCGCCCGCCACCTCGCCCGGCTAGTTTTTTGTATTTTTAGTAGAGACGGGGTTTCACCGGGTTAGCCAGGATGGTCTCGATCTCCTGACCTCGGGATCCGCCCGTCTCGGCCTCCCAAAGTGCTGGGATTACAGTCTTGAGCCACCGCGCCCGGCCCAGTTGTTGTATTTTTAGTAGAGATGGGGTTTTGCTATGTTGGTCAGGCTGGTCTGGAACTCCTGACCTCAGGTGAGCCGCCTGCCTCGGCCTCCCAAAGTGCTGGGATGACAGGCGTGAGCCACCGTGCCCGGCCACACTGCTAGAAACTTTGAAAGCATCTCGTTCGGTTACGTGTCCGCCTGCAGTGGGAGAGGTAGTGTGACTCCACCCCTCAGTGAGGACGTGGAGGAGCAGCGGGGTCAGGCACACGCCTGGCAGGATGGCCTGCAGCTCCAGCGTCTGCCTCAGGAGCGTGTGCTGGCCCCCGTCCCCACTTAGCTTCGGGGCTTTCTGGTCCTCATGCTCTTCCCTTCCCTTTTCCGTAGGTGGCTCATTTTCCCTTTAAGAACAACATGAGCTTTGTGGTCCTTGTACCCACCCACTTTGAATGGAACGTGTCCCAGGTACTGGCCAACCTGAGTTGGGACACCCTGCACCCACCTTCGGTGTGGGAGAGGCCCACCAAGGTCCGGCTGCCTAAGCTGTATCTGAAACACCAAATGGACCTGGTGGCCACCCTCAGCCGGCTGGGTAAGGAGGAGGGTGCGGGCCAGCCCCCGAGGTCAGGCTGGGCAGGGCGGGTGAGGAGGAAGTCTCTGGCTGGCAGTGGAGCTGAGTCAGGGCTGCCCTGTGTCCTGTTCTTTTCCAGGGCTTTGAGAAGGGGAGAGGGTTGAATATGAGCCCCTGGACCCTCTGTCCTGGTGCAAGTTGGGGTGGCCCAGAGAATGGGGATCTGCTTTGCTGCCCAAGACCTAGCACTGCAAGGAGAGTCTGGGTAGAGAGCCGGGGGTGGCATGTGAGCCTCGCCGGCTCCCCTGGAACAGGAAGGAGGAGAAGCTGGGGTGTCACACTGTTAAAGAAATGCTGGGTGGGGTGGCTCATGCCCGTAATCCCGGCACGTTGGGAAGCTGAAGCGGGTGGATTGCTTGAGCGCGGGAGTTCGAGACCAGCCTGTGCAACACGGTGAAACTCCGTCTCTACAAAAAATACAAAAATTAGCTGGGTGTGGTGATACTGGGGAGACTGAGGTGGGAGGACCTCTTGAACCCAGGCGGTTGAGGCTGCAGTGAGCTATAATTGTGCCACCGCACTCCAGCCTCAGCAACGGAACTGAGACCATGTCTCAAAAATAAAAATAAAGGCCGGGCACGGTGGCTCACACCCGTAATCCTAGAACTTTGGGAGGCCAAAGCGGGTGGATCACCTGAAGTCAGGAGTTCCAGACCAGCCTGGCCAACATGGTGAAAACCCGTCTCCACTAAAGATACAAAAATTATCCGGCATGGTGGCGCGTGCCTCTAATCCCAGCTACTCGGGAGGCTGAGGCAGGAGAATCGCTTGAACCTGGGAGGAGGAGGTTGCAGTGAGCCAAGGTCGTGCCACTGCACTCCAGCCTGGACGACAGCGTGAGACTCCATCTCAAAAAAAAAATTATAATAACTAAAATAAATAAATAAAGCATCTATCCTTCAGCCATTTGCTAAGCAGCTGCTGTATGCCAGGTACTGCACCAGGCACTGGGAGCCTACCCTGTGCAAACAGCTGAGTCCAGTGGGGTGGGCAGACGAGCAATCACGTACTTACAAGAGCATAAGCGATAAGACAGAGAGGGCTTCTCTCCAGCTCACCCGGGAGAACACTGAAAATGTGCCTAGGCTGGACTTTAGAGCTGGGGATCAGGGAAGGCTTCCTGGAGGAGGTGATGTTTAAGTTGAGACTTGGAAATCAAACAGGAATGAAGCAGGGATCTATGAGTTCAAGGTGTGCCCTGGCCAGGATCTCAGATACCCTCCCAAGCAGCTCCAGGAGCCTGTGGGGCCAAGGGCAGCTCTGACCAGCCATCTCTGGCCCTGGGCAGGTCTGCAGGAGCTGTTCCAGGCCCCAGACCTGCGCGGGATCTCTGAGCAGAGCCTGGTGGTGTCCGGCGTGCAGCATCAGTCCACCCTGGAGCTCAGCGAGGTCGGCGTGGAGGCGGCGGCGGCCACCAGCATCGCCATGTCCCGCATGTCCCTGTCCTCCTTCAGCGTGAACCGCCCCTTCCTCTTCTTCATCTTTGAGGACACCACAGGCCTGCCCCTCTTTGTGGGCAGCGTGAGGAACCCCAACCCCAGCGCACCACGGGAGCTCAAGGAGCAGCAGGATTCCCCTGGAGACAAGGACTTCCTCCACAGCCTGAAAGCCGGCCCCCGCGGAGACAAGCTCTTCAGCCCTGACTTGAAACTTGCGCCCCCCTTGGAGGAGGATTACTCCGAGCTTGGCAGCCCTAAGTGAGGGGCCGTAGCTGTGGCATCCAGAGTCCCTGCCTGGACCAGCCTCTCCACTCATGTGACTCTTTCCAACCTGCTTTGTGGCACTCGGGCAGGGGCCGGGGGGCTGTCTGAGAGAGGCCATTCTTTCCCAACATCTCTTGGGGAGTTTAGGGCGTGGGGGGTGGGTGGTTGGGCAGAGGGCAGGCATCGGGGAGCCGGGAGCCTGACCCTCATCTTTCTTCCAAACGGGCTCAGAGGGTGTCCTGTGCCGGGGCCTGGGCAGGAGGGAAGTGCTTCTAGTTCTGCCAAGAGACAAGTTGGCTGCTCCCCACGTCAGCTGGGACATCCCTACTTTTGTTTACCAGAGAGAAAGGGAGGGGGAGAGGGCCGCCTTTGGACTTGTCCCGGGACACCGAGGCTAGGGCGGGGAGAGACGGACCCTGGTGGTGGCCCCGGAGGGACAGCGTTGTCCTCAGCCCCGCGTGGAACTCGAGTCTGGCACAGCCTGACCGCGGCCTAACCTGCTGAGAGCCCATCAGCCTCCATCCCACCCCCAGGGCCTTGTCATCCCAGGCTTCCCACGGCTCCTCGAGATCCCAACACTGCCAGCATCTCCCTTCCTTCCTCTCTCCTGTCTCCCTCCTCTGCCCGGGAGCTCAGGAGCCGAGGCAGGGAAGGGTCCTATGGGCTCCTTAAGGCTCTTTTGTAAGGTTTTTGTAGTGATTTTTATGCCACCTGAATAAACAGTGAATGGGCCTGGCTGGTTTGATGTCACCGTTCTGGGCATGGGTGGGGACAAGCGAGGATGGTGGGGAAGGAGGGGAGGCGGCTGCAGGGCGGACTGTGCTGAGGAACCGTAGGCCCAGCAGGGCGGCAGCCCACACAGTGCCACGTTTGGCCTCTGGCCGCTCGCCAGGCATTGTTCTCCACATGGTCCCCTCTGACCTCGCCAGCCCTCCCCCGGGACCCCTCCATGCCAGCCTGCCTCTGCTCCTGGCCTCTTCTTCTCTCTATGCCTCAGGCAGCCGGCAACAAGGGCGGCTCAGAATAGCGCCAGCCTCCGGGTTTGGGAGAAGAACTGGCAATTAGGGAGTTTGCGGAGCTTCTAATTACACGCCAGCCCCTCTGCCAGGAGCTGGCGCCCGCCAGCCGGGGGCAGGCTGCCGGGAGTACCCGGCTCCAGCTGGAGACAGTGAGTGCCTGAGGATTTGGGGGAAGCAGGTGGGGAAACCTTGGCACAGGGCTGACACCTTCCTCTGTGCCAGAGCCCAGGAGCTGGGGCAGCGTGGGTGGGCATGCTTCCCTGCTGGGGGTGCAGGGTGTCCACGTGGCAGCGGCCACCTGGAGCCCTAATGTGCAGTGGTTAAGAGCAAGTGCCTGAAGGTCAGAGAGAGGCCTGGCATGGAATCTGGCTTCTTGCAGACAAGCAGTGTGGAGAGACAGATGATCAATCAACAAAGAGAAATACGTTGTATGTCCGAGGATATGCTGCCGGAAGAGCGATGGTGAAAGTGAAGTAGGGAAGGGGCAGGGCTGGGAGGAAAAGCCTTGTGAGAAGCTGAGACGGGAGCAGGGCCTTGAAGGGGATGAAGGAGGGCACTACGGAGGTCCTGGCGAAGCGTGGCCTGGCCGAGGAACGGCATGTGCAGAGGTCCTGCCGAGGAGCTCAAGACAGGCGGGATGGTGGGGCTGGAGTGGAGAGAGTGAGCGGGAGGAGGAGGAGGAGTCAGAGAAGAGCTCAGGACAGATCCTTTAGGCTCTAGGGACACGATAAACACTGTGGTTTTTGTCTTGTCAAGTCTGTCCTTTTTATTTTTTTTGAAAAAGTCTCGCTCTGTAGCCCAGGCTGGAGTGCAGCAGTGTGATCTCGGCTCACTGCAATCTCTGCCTCCTGGGTCCAAACAATTCTCCTGCCTCAGCCTCCCGAGTAGCCAGGATTACAAGTGCCCACTATCGGCCGGGCGCGGTGGCTCAAGCCTGTAATCCTAGCACTTTGGGAGGCCGAGACGGGCGGATCACGAGGTCAGGAGATCGAGACCATCCTGGCTAACATGGTGAAACCCCGTCTCTACTAAAAAATACAAAAAAGTGGCCGGGCGCGGTGGCTCAAGCCTGTAATCCTAGCACTTTGGGAGGCCGAGACGGGCGGATCACGAGGTCAGGAGATCGAGACCATCCTGGCTAACATGGTGAAACCCCGTCTCTACTAAAAAATACAAAAAAGTAGCCGGGCGAGGTGGCGGGCGCCTGTAGTCCCAGCTACTTGGGAGGCTGAGGCAGGAGAATGGCATAAACCTGGGAGGCGGAGCTTGCAGTGAGCTGAGATCCAGCCACTGCACTCCAGCCTGGGTGACAGAGCGAGACTCCATGTCAAAAAAAAAACAAGTGCCTACTATCGCACCCGGCTAATTTTTGTATTTTAGTAGAGACCAGGTTTCACCATGTTGGCCAAGCTGGTCTTGAACTCCTGACCTCAGGTGATCCGCCTGCCTCAGCCTCCCAAAGTGGTGTGAGCCATTACGCCCTGCAATGCTTGTCAAGTCTTTCTCAGCATTCCCCTCCTCTCCACTGCAGCTCCCAGCGCCCCGGCCTGGGCCTCATCTTCACTTCCTGGGATCCCTGACATTGCCTGCTAGGCCCTCCCTGTCTCTGGTCTGGCTGCCTTCACTGTAACCTCCACCCAGCAGGTGCCTCTTCAGCACCTCCTGTCAACCCAGCAGCACACCAAGCCCTGGGGATGCAGCAACGAACAGGCAGATGCTGCACTCCAGCCTGGGTGACAGAGCGAGACTCCACCTCAAAACAAAAAGGACCAGATGCAGAAAACAGGAGACGTACTAGGAATGAAATTGGAGAGATTTTGCGATACTGAGTAACTGTGGGGAGGCCTTTTCCAGGGGCCATTTCGCTGAGAGACAGATGGTATGAAGACCTGACCGTTCAGAAACAGGGGAAGAGGCAGCAGCCCGGGCAAAGGCCTTTGGAGCAGGAAAAATCCTGGATCACTAGAGAAGCAGAAAGATGGCCAGTGTGACCAGCGCATGACAAAGTCAGAGAGAACCAGGAAGATGGAGCTGGAGACGCAGGCGGGGCCGGATCACGAGGGTCCTCGCAGCGGGGTTTGGAGTTTTTCCAAGCAGAAGCGAAGCTGCTGAAGGGGGTTTTCCTTTACAATTTTTAGTTGAAATATAATCTGCAAAGTACACAAGTCTTAACTATTTGTAAGCTTAATGACTGTTTCCATGAACAAAATACTGCTGTGCAACCATCACCGGCTCAAGAAATAGAACCTTCTCCTGACTTCCAGTAACACAGTGGCTCAGCGCAGACACAGAGCTCTTCTGACTTCCCGTAACACAGGGTTTTTTATTTTGTTTTGTTTTGTTTTTAAGAGGCAAGGTCTGTAATCCCAGCACTTTGGGAGGC